TACTGGTAACGGTAGTTGTAACATATCCCACATGCGGACGTTTAACCCCATTTCTCCCCTACATGATTATAATGGTTATTATATTATGTTCATACAAGCCAGAGTAATATGACTGTAGAAATTATTTGGAATATGTAGGATAATATGATTGCTGCACCCAGATTACACATATCGTTTCATAACGTGATTGTCGTAACTTGATAATATTTACCTTGACCTAGTTATCATATTTTACATTTAAATATGAATAAACATGATAGTAACACAGTTTTAGTCGACAAGATAACTAAATGTGACGACACGGTGTTTTAAATGGGGGGAGGAGTAGATAATTGTGTCCTATAGTCTATGGCTCGTTTCAAGGAATAACAATTTTTTTTTTAAATTCATATCAAATTCTATGTTTTGTACCCGTTTTTTTTACCTGACCTGATAATATTCCATGTTAATTTATCATATTCATATTAGTTAATTTCCCTGAGAAAGTCCATTTATACTGTTGCACTACTTTATAATTTGGATTTTATGGCCCTTGAATTTAAATCTCATTATTTTATGACACAACGCTGTGTCAAACTGTTGGAGACAATCCGGCATAGCGGAACCAGATAAGTATTTACATCGGAACAGAATATCAAAGTTACATAGATACAACATGAACTAAACTACATCGGGAACTAGACTACGACAGGAACACATATAACACTATTAAATCCACCATTCCACCAAGGCAGCGGCTGAACTCGGGTGAGTCCATGCACTCGTCCAAGCCTCGCTTGTCCTTCCCGGTCTGTCTGTCTGTCTGTCTGTCAGTAAACTCCTGATTATATAGCACCGGAGAATAGATAAGACTCATGATCATACAGGAAATTGTCTCTTTATCACGTCATGGTATGCTTACTGACCACTGCATATTCCGTTGATGTCATATGGAGCTTGTACACAGATCATATGTATTTTGCAAATGACATATAGGATTAATTACATGATTAATTAGATGATAGCCAGTTCGTGCCTTAAAGTGCACATAAGATGGGTCTGGAAACTTTGAGATACGTGTAGCCAATGGTTACTATATCCACTTTACGGCAAGTTCACACCAATCTGATTGAAATTAATTCCGCTATCTTCACTCAAAGTCGCAAAAATTCGAAAACACTCTTAATTTAATCCCCTCAGACGCCAGTGACGTCACAGTGACCGAATGCATATTCGGAATGTTTGTTGTTGTTTGTTAGTTGTATTTTACGTCCGCTTCCACCGAGGTGATATCGCAGACAATAACATGTTATGTATACAAGGTGCAATAATTTACAGTGTGATTAGTGAAAAAGAGGATAATTAGGTTTTTATATATATGTACAGAAGACAATAGATAACAGCAAGAGACATGAGATAACAGGTGCAAAGAATAAAAAGGTGCCAGTAGACGTTTACAAACAGACGAATTTGTAACAAAACAGACATGAATGTGGACGAACATTTGGACAGAGACAAACATTTAGACATAGTATGTGCATATATATATATATATATATATATATATGTTTAGGTCGTTTTCGTCGGACTGGTCGATTTGTCCGGTTGAATGGCAGGGCGGTGCAACTCTTCCTCTGGGCTTCTTGGTGAGTGTAAGGCCTGGACCATTCTTCCTTCCATTTGGTTTTGTTGTCCGGTATGGTGGTTGATTTCGTCATTATTTCTGTTGTTCATTCCTTTGTTGTTGGTCCTCTGAAGGAAGAATCCAGCACCTGAAAAGAGAGAGCTAGAAAAAAAAGAGTATCTGGTCTTACCATGGTTTTGTTTTTATTTCGTCTAGTAAGGCTTCGAGGGGGGGGGGGAGAAAAAAATGCATTTATGGCATGTTAGTACGGAAGCGTAATAGGGCCACATATTTTTTTTATTATTCTATTTTTAATTTTTCAAGTTACTAACTTGAATTTTCAAGTTACTAACTTGAATTTTCAAGATACTAACTTGAATTTTCAAGATAATCTTTTAGAGGTATTTAGTATCTTGAAAATTAAACTATAGCACATACTTATGGAAGAAAAATTACTAATCAGTAATTGTTCTTCCATAAGTATGTGTTATAGTTTATTGCTCTATCCAGTTACTAAATGCCTCTAAAAGATCATCTTGAAAATTCAAGTTAGTATCTTGAAAATTCAAGTTAGTAACTTGAACAATTGAAAATAGAATAATAAAAAAAAAAAATATGTGGCCCTATTACGCTTCCGTAAGTTAGTATGATATACAGTCAAAAAATTTTAGGAGTTAATAAATACAATAATACATGTATGGTGACTTAATATGATCTACAATCAATACTTATTTAGTCAAGAAATAAAACAAAATGGTATGTAAAAAAGTGTAGCGTTTCCCTCTTATGGGGACATTTTTACGCTTACACCCTGATTTATTAGTTAAGAGTTTTATTTGTGGTGTAGGATGGGTGGCGATTCCCTCTAGGGGACGTTTTTTTTGCTCCATCCTACAGGGTAGAATTCGATTTATTAATTTTATCGGGGTTTTATTAGTAGTGTAGGGCGGTTTACGTTTCCCTCTAGGGGACAATTTTACGTTCCACCCTACTGTTTTAATTGATTAATTTTATTATTTTATGTATGTTTATTCCTTAATTACCTATATACAGCTGGCGTGTGTATTCATTAACGCTTGACTGCCTCCTTAATCCACTAATTAAATAAAACAATTGACTGCGGAATAATTTGTTTTGTAATTTATTTTAATTAAGATCCTATTTAAAATTTGTTTTATAATGTCCCGCCCTCTCTTCTCACGACAGCCATTTTAAAACTGTGTTTTATAATGTCCCGCCCTCTCTTCTCACGACAGCCATTTTAAAACTGTGTTTTAAAGTGACTTTTTGAGTACAAACGATTCGAAATATATTTCCGTCAGAAGAGTATTGTGGTTCTAATTTGTTTTATAATGTTCCGCACTCTCTTCTCACGACAGCGATTTTAAAACTGTGTTTTAAAGTGACTTTTTGAGTCCAAACGATTCGAAATATATTTCCGTCAGAAGAGTATTGTGGTTCTAATTTCCCCGAGTAAAAGAGTGCAGAAGTAAAAGATGTGGTCATGCAAAATGAATCATTAAAGTCAAACATGACTGAAATGTGATTTTTTAATGACGATCCGTAGCTCGATTTCCTGTAGTCATCGTACGGCGTCTTTCTTTCTGCACGTGGATTTGACTTCATGAAATACGAAAAAATATCTCAATATTATACGTTAGAATTAAGAGATTGAGAATGGTCATCTAACTATCTTTGTGTATTGATAAAGTGTACTGTCGTTAATATCTATGATTAATCAATCCGACTAAAGTTGCAGACATGGGGCCATAAATTAATTTACATATCGATGTAGATAATGATTAGCGTTGCACACACATGGGGTTATAAATTAATTTACAAGTATAGATGTTGGATTAAGAATGCTGATTAGGTTATTATTAGCCCGCCAGATCAAAGACATCATTCTTGGTAGAACGTGTTAAAACTCCACGAACGAACGACACAAGTTACGGGGGAACTTTGCTGCAAACATTTCTCCACACCACAACTAATCGCTGAATCGTACATTACTCATCAGTTGTTTATAATTATTTTTGTACCCAATAATCAAATAGATTTGTTCACCGATGTTTTTGTAATAAAGTAGCCTCGTATTATTTGTTGATTGGCGTTTAGACAATATTTAATGGACATGAGGTTATTGTCTAACATCGTTTAACATCTTTATAAAAAAAAAGTATTTAACAAGTACATTCACACTTTAATAGCTCACCAAACGGCACCAGGAACTTTAGTCACGATGATCACGTGTATTTGATATTCATGTCCATGAATCCCATGCAATTGTCGCAAAAATGTCTAATCTATAACAGTACGAGACGATAATTCGGTGATTATGATTAGGCCAGTCACGTGTTAATTGGACCGTGATGTGTATATCAGAGATATACTGTACAGGTAGTGATATATTGTGTATAGATAATGTATATACTATGTGTAGTGCCTGTGACGTCACCAGTCAATCAACCGGATTAAGGTCGTAATTATAAAGCGTTTTTGCGAGTCGAATACTCAAACGTTAATAGCCGAATTAATTTTAATCAGATTGGCGTGAGCTTGCCGTAAATTGGATATAGTAACTATTGGCTACACGTAGCGAAAAAAAAATTGGCCATCTTATGTGGTCTTTAACAGAAGTTTATACAGAGTTGAAAGGTCACTATCAAATATTATCAAAAACCAGCTGAGGTCTTAAAGTTCTAAGCACCTAAATGATCGTTTAATTTGATGAAAGTTATATAGTACCTTGCTACAATAGCTACAAACGTAAACGTTGAATAATGGCCACGTTTTCGCTCTTAGTTCAGAAATGGCTCAATAGGCATACTTCTTGGGCCATTGCTTCAGGAATACGGATACATCGTTGATGCTAATCCTTGAAGATTTTATTAATTATGTTAACATTAAAGTCACCTAAAATTATAGTTTTAATATTTTGTTCTTTGGCAAGCTCTAGTGCCAGTATTTCAAATTTGCCGTTGGGTGGGTGTCTGTCATTGAGTCAAGAAACGTGGTTTAGATTCCCCGCTTGTATGTGACAAGAAGTAAAGTCGTCTGTGCAACCTCATGGGTTTTCTCCGGTGTCCTCCCACATAAAAACTTCTGTCTCTTTTATCGCCGTCACTGCTAGAGACTCCTACATGCAAGAGAATTATTGAAATTAAACTGGATCATATTATCTTAGTCCCGAAATGACATAGTTTTTGTCGTGCCTCTATATTTATGTAATATTATTCAAGATCGTTATCCGTTCATTGGAGTAACTACTAACTAAATGGTTGGTTAATCGAGTAGCTACTTAAATTTACGCAGAACTATTTAAAATATTTGTATATTTAACACTTGTGAACTATACACTATAAATATAGTTTAACTGTACACTGAAGTTTGAGGTGTGGTGAATGTCGACCAGGTATAATTGGGCGATGTAATGATAACAGCCAATGATATATGAAAGTCAACCCGTTTGACTACTTCTATGCATATTGTTAGCAGGTGTAACAAACTCATCTTACATAAAGACGTCTGGTCCACTGAGTTGTAACAACTAATAAGGCTTCAATTCTATTTTGTTATGAAATCTATTTGAATCAGAGATATTTTATGTTTATCTACTATTTATAAGGTATGTTATATATATAATTACTTCCCTTGTTTGTCTATAATTATATACTGTTCTCTCTTCTTCTGTTTTATTACAGAATTATATTCATATATTGTATAATCCTGTGTTGATATTTCGCTTAGAGTAATTATAATAAAAAAGCAGTAATATGTCCCGCTTATACTTTAAATTATGAAAAAAACACCTTGTTTCATTGATATTTTCTTCTTTCATTTCAGATTTACTGTTAAAGACTACGATAAAACAAGATAATTCACAATGGCCCAAAACCGAATGGCGGAATCTGATTATCAGATACTAAGAAGGAATTATTCATATTTATTAGAGAATTTACAAGCTAAAAATATAACAGCACATCTCTTCCAATATGGCGTCATAGATCACGACGATCTGGAGGAAATTAATCTTAAAGAAGAAAATAAAGGACGAAAAGCCGGGGTTGAAATTCTGATAAGAAAATTACGATGGTGTGCTGGGGATTCGTTTAACCTGTTTATTAAAAGTCTGGAAGTAAATGGCTACCATGAAGTAGTCCAGACTTTAAAGGTAAGTCAATTATGTTAGAATATTAGATATTATTAAACCAATTAATTAGAACAAGTGGACTGTATATTTAGATAATGGATCAAAAACATTGGCCACGTGTCTAATAATTGTCCTGTAATTTCATATGATAAGTTGCCAAAACACAGCATGAGTTGGATTGATTGTACTATTGTTTTTAAACATTTTATTCTAAATATATTCACAAGTATTCATCAACAACGTTATTTAGTGTATAAACAACAATAATTTGTAAAACCTGTGGTAGAATGGAGATGGACATAGGCCTACATCATAGGCCTACATCATAGGCCTACATCATGCAGTGTGATATGTGAGACATGTTGCCTTGACAACGGCGCTACGGCCTACTTTTATATCGAATTCTAACTATCAGGAGTTCTCATACGGGTATACTGACATATACACGGGACCTCGTTTTTTCGTCCCATCCGAACGACTAGACAATGTACCTTGATCTTCCATACTGCACTGGTAGAATTACTGGGCTGACAGTAATTATGAATAAATCAGTTTAACCAAATGTCAGACCCTTCATTTGATTTTGTGGTTTATAATCAATCTAAGGTAAACCTGTCGTTATTAATTAATAAAAAAAAACAATTTAATTACATACAATAAATTGTTATATTTACAGACAGACGATAAATTAGGTGAAACTCAAGCAGAAACTACTAGAAAAACTTTACCTCTTGAACAAGACAAACAATATTGTAGAAAACACAAGAATGAAGAAATAGAAGTTTACTGTATGGATTGTAACCAACCATGTTGTGTGGTTTGTCGCCAAGTATGTCACAACAACCATAAACTAACTGATTTACATGAAGCTGAAGAAAACTGGAAAGGTCAATTCCTTAAACTTAAAACAGAATCTGATAAAAAGATAAAACAACTACAAGAACATTCTGACTATTTAAAGGCTAAAATATCTGACCTTAACAACTCTTGTCAGACCGCGTGTGATAATGTTGACAACAATGTTAAAAACATTTGTGATCAAGTAACCGTGTTAGGAAGTGGAATAAAAGATGATATTATCAAAGTGAAAAATGACGAAATTATGGAATTAAACAATTTCATACAGGAAGCTGGCAGGATGACATCTAAAATGAAAGATTGGTGGGATTATTCTGATCGTATGTTACTACAAAGTTCTTTAATTACATGCCTGGACAAACATTCACTGGCCGACGTCCAGGCAAAAACAAATCACGATATATCATCATATGTACAAACCCCTGTGATACGACATCCATTTTATGACATGGTGAAGATTGACGTAGAATCATTAAAACAACAAATGAATAAAATGACAATCATGGATAGTCCAACTTTTACCAGTAGTTTTAATGTAAATCAGATACTGGAGACAGACGTTTACTACCAGGTTGGTGATGTAATGATACAAGGAATGCCATGGTATGTAATTGTTAAACGTCTTACAGATACACAAACATTGGGTGTTCACCTATGGTTGAGGAAGGTAGAGGATAAAACAGTTAAAGCTGTTACAGTTGATTATACATTTAAACTGTTAAATATAAACAATGTTAGTAAACATATAGTATATAGAGATACAGGAACATCATATAAACCTGGTGATCCAGGATGGGGTTGGGATCGCTTTATAGACTGGGATACACTCATTAATCCTGATAATGGTTACCTTGACGACAGCGGTATGTTCACACTACAAACAACTGTAAAAATAAATAAAATAGATAGAAATTAATCTGAACATACAAACTAAATAAAACGTGATATTAACTCGTACGTGATATTCAGTTAGATGGAAATTTTATGTGAACCGGAAAAAAGAAAAAGAAATTATGTGAACGCAGATAAGACGTGTTGTTTATTGTAACATCAAGTTAAGACTAACAAACTCAATCAATCGGCTCATGTTGATAGCAAGGACAGTTGCCTAGTCATTCGGATGATACAAAAAACCGAAGTCCCTTGTATACATTGATGTGCTCGTAAAAGATTCCTTGACAGTTAGAATTCGATATAAGAGTAGGTCATAGTGCCACTGCCCGGTCGACATTTCCACCATAGCACACTGTTTGGTGTATGCCCGTCTTCATTAGCCCTGATGGTACGGAACAGTAGGACGTTAAACCCCATTTCATTTCATTTCATTTTATGTTGATAGAGAATATTTCCAGCCAAACGGCTCGAAATTCTCATTTGCTGTTAAAATGGAGAAATGAGAATGTCGTGATTAAGTATGTTTTGAATAAGTTTATTTCAGAGCAAATTTATATGATGAAATGACACTAACATTAGGTTACAATGTTCCTTCGTATAGTCCCGGTGCGTCTTTTCAGCGCTACTTGAACCACATGCAGTATTTACAGAGATATATGGAATTCAGATTTCATCGATTTATGCAATACCCCCATCGCCAAGTTGTTGTCCGCGACAATTCATTGATTGGTTGGATTTTTTTTTTAATGGATCCAAACCGGGACATTATCAGACGTCAATATTAGATAATAAATCATAGTACATATTAGATAATCAATCATAGTAAGATAATCAATCATAGTACATATTAGATAATCAATCATAGTACATATTAGATAATCAATCATAGTACATATTAGATAATTAATCTGAGTACATATTAGATAATCAATCATAGTACATATTAGATAATTAATCTGAGTACATATTAGATAATCAATCATAGTACATATTAGAAAATTAATCTGAGTACATATTAGATAATCAATCATAGTACATGTTATATAATCAATCTGAGTACATATTAGAAGTTGCAAGAAAGACGCAAGAAATTTGATATTTTAGGGAAAATGAGCCATTGTAACATTAAATCTGGTTATTTTATGACACTAAAATAAAATATATATTTTGTATACATGTATTTTAGCATTATTTTGTAAATCATCTTCCAGTATAATATTTTTGCATCACGGTTTTGTGTGAAGTAAATAGTTTTGATAGTTGAAAAATGGGATGATTTTGATCCCCTGCTTGTAAGTATCAAGATGGACGGTACTCTCTCCAACCTCGTGGGATTTCTCCGGATCCTCTTGTTTCACCCAACAGCTAAAGATCATTACTAACCATATGTTAGTCACGAAATAACCACGTTTCCTTCCAGAGTCTAGGTTGTTATTCTGTACTGTTCATTCCAACAGTGTCTACTGTCTTGCCTCATGGGTTTTCACCAGGTACCCTGGGTGCCTTTCCCGGCGTGTAAGCGAATTAATGAAATAAAAGTTACAAAATGTTAGTCCCAAAATTAACCCAGTGAACACATGCTCTTAGTGACACAGCAGTATCTGATAGTCAGAATATTTTTATTATATTTCCTAACAAAGTTTTATTTTAAAAGTTATTAGTATGACTTACGATTTATCAATCTGTTTGGGGCTTTGTTTTCAGAGTGCGACAGAAAACCATATACAATAATCATCCCAGAATTAGAAATAGTTTTACTCAAAAACTAGAAGCTTCTAATGGGAGAGATAAGATGGAAAGCTGTAAAAGTTATCTCCCTTTAAAACTGAATACTTTTAAGATGTCGAGAGCCACAGTCGGTCAGTGAGTAAAACACCGGCACACTAACCAGGAGGTCCTGGGTTGTCTCCCCCTTTTGGCCGAGAAAGTTCACTGGATTTTCCACTGTGGGTTTTGGTTGTTAGTTGTTTCTAGGAAGATGGCGTTCCAAGGAACGACAATCTGAATAAAACACAATGGATCCAAAATTTCGTTTTACTTGTCTTCACAACGCTAGGATCTGGAAGAGTAGTTATTTAACAGGCGTTCTGCTTGATGTGAGGAATTTAGCCATTGAAACGGTCGGTTACGACGAGTTCTTGGCGTGCCGTGTACGGAACTGTGGGAAAACCAGTCGTAACGTCAATGCTGATTGATTAATCAATGTCTGACGTCATAGTGTCAAACGGCGCTCACATGACCACTAACACGACCTCTCACTACAACTGGTCAGATCTTCATGTAAAAGAGGTCGTCGAAAGTATAAAAAACGAAACGAAATATAGATCTGTATTTTATTCAGATTGAAGGAAGGGTGTCTAGTCATTCGGATCCCGGTTGGAGCAGAAAGTAGGACATTAAGCCCCATTTCATTATGTTTTGTCAAAAATATTGTGCTGAATTTGAATTTGAAAGGATGCCAAACTCCCCTCGAACCACTATGTCTCGGGGCTATGGTAATGGCCCAGTAACCAATATTGTCTGGGAAGATGTATCTAATGGTGTTGTGTTCTTGCATCACTGGCATTCCCAACCTCGTGGATTTTATCTGGATCCTCTGGTTTCTGTCCACTGTTAAATATCTCTCTCCATTTTCCTCCTATATCTTGATGTACATTTCTCCAGCATTTTATTAGTTGCATGGTAAACTGTAGGCTGTCAGTCACTCTCACTATTAGTGGTATTGAGTTTTACAAGGCACTGATGCCGGGGTCAACTTCAGGATTCCCCGAGTCTGAAAGTTCCTGATGATAGGGCGCTCAGTCTTAAAAAGACCCTTGTTCCAGTTGTAAACGGACCCTTGTCAGTGGGTTCAGTCGTAAACAGGCCCTAGTTAGTTGGCGCCATCGAAAACAGACCCCAGTTAGTTGGTCCAGTCGTAAACAGGCCCTTGTTAGTTGGTCCAATCGTAAAGAGACGCTAGTAATTTGGAATTTGATGAAGAGTAGGCATCAGAGTAAAACTTCCATCATTATTCTTTCTCTCCGCATGCCATTGAGTTGACCATCTCAATGTTTTTCTAGGTGAGGTCAAAATAACCCTTCTGATCCTTCCGCCTGAAAGTCATGAAAAATCATCACAACCTGACAGAAAATGTAAATTCAAACACATGTCTTCGATTCTGGACCATAAAAGTCAACAAAGAATTGCCATTCAAAAGTGGGGAAATCGAGAATTCCTATTACATTAGTCTTATACCAAAAGATGATTTCAAAATGTAGTTACCTCCCCTTTAAAGCGTGTTATCATACCCCCCCCCCCCCCCCACACACACACACACACACACACTCCCAATTTCTTGAATGAAAATGTAAGAAATTCATCTGGTGTAAATATTTAATATCATCAAAGTCATAAACTGGATAAATGCACATTCATTTATCATTTTGTATATTTTACAAATATTTAATATAAGTTTTTCAAAGATTGTCTATAATGTAATTTTTTTATAATAAAAACTTTTATTTGTACAAGTACATCAAACAATTATTTTCAACCTGTTTTTTTATAATCAGGACATTATTTGATATTTTCTGAAAAATGCAAATGATACACACATAGACCTCTACCAGAATAAAATTCCATCTGTAACTAAAATCATTCATTCTAAACAAAATAATGGCAATTACCCGCGACAAAGTTTGAAAGTCCTGAAGGATTTCGTAACAGTTTTTGAAGGAAAATTTCATTTCATACAAAAGTGAAGAAAAATAATTTTCGGTTTAATTTTTGCATAAATCAACCGCTAGAAAGAATTATGTTATTCTAACATCAGCATCAGGAAGTCTGAGAAAAATAAAAATACTTCCAGATCTTATATTCTAGTAAAAGGAACTTATCCATAGTCTGCCACTGGTCAATATTGGATTTATGCTTATTATTGTATGTATGACGTCACGGGTCATAATTTGTCTATGTTTTTGGGGTTTTTTTATTCTTTGGTACCACTTTTCTATCTACCCGTAACACATTTATACACTCTAAACCAAGGGTGGCGAACATTTTTCAGAACGTGTGCCAATATTTTCAATTTGATAAAAGTGCATTTTTTTTTAGCATTTTACTTGATTTTGCTATTTGATTTGTGTTTACTGGAGTCTTAGGTGCATACAACATAGGATTTGGTCCAGGGGCATACAACAGTGGATTTGGTCCAGGGGCATACAACAGTGGATTTGGTCCAGGGGCATACAACACAGGATTTGGTCCCGGGCATCACCAAACCTCTGCACGTCACTCTACCTGTACATTAAATGTAAAATGAAATGTAATAAAATGGGGTTTAACGTCCTACTGTTCAGCATCGACTGGGCTAATGAAGATGGGCATAAGCCAAACAGTGTGCTGTGAAGGCAATTTTGCCTGGACAGCGGCACTACGGCCTACTCTTATTTCGAATTCCAACTGTCACGGATTGTTTTAAGTGCACGCTAATTTGTACACGGGACATCACTTTTCGTCCCATACGAACGACTATACGTTGTTCCTTACAATGCCCTCCGACATACACCACTGACAAGGGGCGCCACGCTTACAATAGATGTAATAATCAGTAACAATAAACATGAAAGGTGAATTAAGTCTAGGGGAGATAACTCGTCTATCCATGTCAACATGAGAAGATAGAGAGAGAGGGAGAGAGAGAGGGGTTAACGTCCACGAGAGAGAGGGAGAGAGAGAGAGAGAAATTTGAGGGTTATTTCGGGACTAACATATGGTTCAAAATTATTTCATTAATTCGCTTGCGCGTAGGGGTCTTTTAGCAGCGGGAGGGATCCGGAGAAACCCACGATGTTGGACAGGTGACCCAACTCCTTGTCACGTACAACCGGGGATTCGAAACCACGCCAGCTGACTCAATGACGGGCCTTATGATACCGCGTGTACACGCTAACCATTCGTCCATTCAACACCACCGTAATGAGAAACCATTGTAAATACGTTAATGTGTATTGACAATGTCAAATAAACGAAGGAATTACTGGCTGCAAGTACTCTTTTCTCTGGGTTATTGCACGCAAGTAATTATGCCAAAAGATACAACGAGGTTTGATTTTAACACAGAAGTGACACGTCTAGAACGTAGACTTTCAGAAGAAAACCCTATTATGCTCTATACTGATCACTGGGCTGAGCAAAGCCATACAGGCTCTATAAATGTTGGGGGGGGGCAGACCCTGAAATGCCCCAAAAAATTAATTTCGGTTTATAGATGGTGGTTCCGTTCGGCTGCGAGTATATACTATAAATAACTAAATATAAATTCAAGAAGATCAAACTGAGAGTTTATTAATTATATCGAAACCATAATCATTTCATTGATTATAACAGTTAAGAAATATATAATTGTATGGTTATGTTTTATAGTTTTAACTATAAAAGTAATAAGTTGCATATATGTATTTACAAGGTAAATATATATCAAAGGTTTGAATAAAATATAAATATATTATGATCAATTGAACAGAATGCCCTATGATGAACACAATTTAAATTAAAATTGTGAGAGGTCAGATACTGTAAATAAGTTACATAGACATAAAATACTGTGATTAGCTAAATAAATTATAGAAAATAATTGAAACATGCAAATTTTCACATATTGATAACAGAGGATTATAAATATGAGGGTTGTGGTATGGAATATACAATGTATGTGACATTGTTTGTCTATAATTATATACTGTTCTCTCTTCTTCTGTTTTATTACAGAATTATATTCATATATTATATAATCCTGTGTTGATATTTCGCTTAGAGTAATTATAATAAAAAAGCAGTAATATGTCCCGCTTATACTTTAAATTATGAAAAAAACACCTTGTTTCATTGATATTTTCTTCTTTCATTTCAGATTTACTGTTAAATACTACGATAAAACAAGATAATTCACAATGGCCCAAAACCGAATGGCGGAATCTGATTATCAGATACTAAGAAGGAATTATACATATTTATTAGAGAATTTACAAGCTAAAAATATAACAGCACATCTCTTCCAATATGGCGTCTTAGATCACGACGATCTGGAGGAAATTAATCTTAAAGAAGAAAATAAAGGTAGAAAAGCAGGGGCTGAAATTCTGATAAGAAAATTACGATGGTGTGCTGGGGATGCGTATAACCTGTTTATTAAAAGTCTGGAAGAAAATGGCTATGGCGAAGTAGTCAAGAGGTTGAGGGTAAGTGAA